CAGCTCTGCCGGGCGGCCTCGGCCGGAGGGATATTTACGTGGGAGCGCTAATTAACCAGCAGCCCGTCAGCAGAGCTGGTGCCAGTTGCTCAGTAATCCCGTGCAGGGTTCAGTGTGCTCTTCCCTCTGCTGCCCGGGGCGATGCCGAGCGCGGTCTGACACCCTGCTGGGTTTAACCCACGTGACTCTTTTTAAATGTATTATTTCCATCGTGATTGTGAACCCAGCACGTAGGGTCCCTGGTTGGGGAATCTCTCCCTGAGATCTTCCCGGGGCCTTTGAAGTCTTCACCTTGAATAATTGATACACCTTTCTGTACAGGGTGACTGCTGAGATACCTTTGTAATACCAAATATGGTTATTTTTCACCATATAAGGAATAAAAGGGAGAAGAAAAAGACTAAATCAATCACCAATAGAATTAATATTTAAAATGTCAGCTTCCTACACTTTTCATCTGATGCTGTCCTTTAAATGAGACACCTTTGTGGATTTACCCCTGCCTTGGAGAGAAGTCTGAGGGAAGTGTCTGTAAACACAGAGGCTCAGAGAGATGCTCAGAGGACAGATCTCCCCTTCCTCTGTGACATCTCATCCCCACACCAGTGTACACTGCTCTAACCTGAGGCATTAGAGCAGGTTATTAAACCTCTCGGTCTCAGGTTTAGGTTGGACATTGGGAAGGCCTGTCCCAGGCTGCCCTGGGAGGTGGTGGAGTCCCCATCCCTGGAGGGATTTTAAGGCTGTGGAGATGTGGTGCTGAAGGGTGTGGTTTAGTGGTGGACTTGGTAGAGTTAGGCTAACGGTTGGACTTGATGATCTTTAAAGGTCTTTTCCAGCTGAAACCTTGGTATCATTCTGTGGCAGTACAGCCATGGCTTCACCAAGGTCTCTGGAGAAGGGCAAACATGCAGGATTTCCCCTCAGAAACCTGGTGAGGACAAAGTTCATTCACTGGCATTGGCTTGGGCTTGATGAGACAATTTGACTTCATTCAGAGCTGTAGTAAGTCAGTAAAATTGACAGGCTGATAGCAGAGCTGGTTATTTTGAAAGCCTGAGCACATTCACCCTGCATGTCCCTCGGCCAAGTCTGACAAAAGAGCACAGTGCTGAGCACCAAAATAAACTCCAGTTTGCTTGAGGTAGACCTGATGGCCGTACGGTTCCTTTTCACAGCTCTATCTTTCCACCACATTTGTTTTTTAAAGGCCATCCAACATTTTTCCAAAGGTCTAAAGTGAGGCGTTAACAAATGCATTCCTGTCTGTCCAATAAAGAGCCCCAGTTTTAGTTTGAAAGGAGAATAATGGATTAGCACTAACTCACCTGTTTAAAGCAATCTTTTCCTGACTCTGTATGGAAGTGTTTCCCTCAGGCTGAGCCCGTGTAGATGTATGCAACTTAGACATGAAAAACTGTTATGCATCACAGATAAATAACTTCAGAAAATTAGTTTATGTTAAAAGGGTTCACATCATTGCAAAGCTAAACATGAATGGGCACAACTCCTCTTTCTCTGTGCTGTCTAAACCGAAAAAGCAGTTTTAATCTGTGTGAAATAAAATTTGCTCAAAGGTTACTGCCCCTTTGATTACAATGACTGAACAACACGTGGCAGGTGAATCAGGGAGCTTTTGGAAAGCTGACCTGGGCCCGTTGGCAGCCCGGGCTGGGTGCCTGCCCACGTTACGTGGAGGTGCCATCCCACCAGCAGGGTGGATGGACCTGCTCACGTGGGGCCAGCCCGTGTTTCTACTGCAACCCTGGGGAGGCTCAGTGAGCTCATTTCATTGGTGGGACCTATCTTAGGAGGGGAAAAGAGTGCTGGTTTTCAGTAACAGTTTAAGTGTTTTGAGAATTGCCTCATTTTCATGGAGAGCAGAGCTTCTCTCATACAAGGTGGCACTGGCTTTTCCCCCAAAAGGGCAGGACCCTGCCTGCAAGGTGCTGGGAGCCAGCAGCTCCCACTGAAATCAATTATGGTCGAGTCAATGGAGCTGAGAGTACTTAAAGTCATTCAGGAAGCACTCAGGGCTTGGGAAAATGATGGCATCATGTAATTTAATTACTACAGTTAGATAATCTGAGTCTTTCAAGCAGGAATTTTAAAAAGTTTGATTTTCAAAGGCAATTTAGAAAACAACCTCAAACCACTTTATTCCTTATAACTAAGGACATATTTATTTTACAGCTTCTACCTCAGAGGCCATTAGCGTGGACTTTTCATGTAACACAGCAGGTTTATTTAGGATGTGCATCAGCCATCCTTTCTGATGGATTAAATCAATGCATCTAGTAATGTGTGTCTGGAGAAGAAAGTACTTACACTGCAGGATGTTGGAGCAGTATCAATAGATCAGTTGGTTATCAGTGATTTTAATATCCTCTTCATAAAAATAAAATAACCTATGAGAGGAAAGAACCCTTGACAGCCTGAGGGGGTGGCTGGAGGAAGGGCACAGAGCACTGCCCTGCCTGGGGCAGCAGCATGGGGGGTTTGCATCCTGAGGAGCTGGTGCCAGGCCTGTGGTGGGCAGGTTCTGCAGGACGTTCTCTGAGGCATGGCTGCACTGCCGTGCTGTGACCTGGGGCCAGTCTGCAAGCTAACGTGTGTTTCAAAATGCCTTTTTAGGATTTGGAGAACAGTCAAGGGCTAATGACTTAGAAGAGAGGTGGATGAGTTTATCCTGAGACACTGAATGCTATAAAAAACCATGGCAAACATAAAAAGATGGTGACTTCAAATAAATACTGAGATGAGACTTCAAAATATACCTCACTAGAGTATGGGTGTTATGTTTGTTCCTGTGTCCTTGGGAATGGCAGCAAGAGCCAAGGGACACAGCCCTGCACCCCAGCTCTGCCCTCACCAGGCCACGAATCGCAAGGCGAGTGTCAGAGCTGGTGGTGGAGAAGAAACCCTCCTAAAACCCAGGAAATGTTGGTGGCCTGCCAGGCTCTCATGCAAAGACTTCCTTCTTGGAAAGAGCTCCCTCCTGCAGGGACTTCTCCCCTTTTCCAAGCAACACGATCGGATTTAATCTCTCCAATGTTTCCAAACACACTGGAGGGATACTCCAAAGCCATGAGCATGTAGCCTTTGAGACTCAAGCTGCTGCACCCGAGACTCAAACGGTTCAATGAGGTTATTGAAGGCTGATCACACACACAGAGACCCAGTGAAGATCTAGATGAGCAATGACAGCTGAGGAACTCAGTAACCCAGAGGTGGGGACCCTGCTGAGTCGCTGCTCATGGGGCCACCAAGGGAGAAGCATCAGCACCTGGCCAGGAGAAACCAGCCAGGTGGGTCTCAGGGAGGAACCCCTTCCTGAATGCCTTTCAGAGTCACTGGGGTCATTGCCTACAGGCTAGAAGACTCACAGTGGGGTGCAGAAGAAAGAGCATTCTGGACTGTATAAAGCTCGTTATGGGAGGAGTTAGCAAAGGCAGGGAAGGGGAGTGACCGAGGAGGATCAGCAGGGAACAAACAGTGGGGAAACAGAGGCATGGGCCAAGAAACATGACTGCTCTGTAGACCTCCCCTAACCAGCTAGTAACCCAAGGCCTCTGCCTGACTCCTGAAATGTAAACAATATTAATAGGCACTGACATAGATAAAGAAGTTCCTTAAAACATCCTAATGGATTTTAAAAAAACATTTTGAGATCTTTACTAGTAAATATAAACCAGATGAGAAGCATTCTCCACCAGTCTGAATGGGCATCGTTACCTGTCTGAGCCCAGCACTGAACTAGCATTTGCTTCCCACCAGTGACAGCCGTGCCAGTAACAGCAGAGCTGCAGAGAGCAACACGTACCAGCCTGCGGATTTCTCTCTCGCACTCCCTCTTAATTCTGCTGATTTCCTCCTGGTGCAGGTGATAGACACTCCTGATCTCTGCCGCTTTAATCTTGTCAGCCTGGATGACCATAGTTAAAGCCTCTTCCACTTGTTTCTTAGCTCCCTTCAGCTCTGAAATTTCTTGCTGCATTTTTATTTTCTCCACTTCGAAGCCTTTCTTGGCCTCCTCCTTCGCCTCCGTCAGCAGCACCGTCTTCACCTTGTCGGGAGCCCCGTCACGTACAGCATTGAGAAGGGTCTGTAGTCTCTGGATTTCGTTATCTTTAATTTTTATTACTCTAAGTAATTCAGCTTCGTGCTGTCTCAAGAGTGTTTCTCGCACAGCTTGGAGCTCCTTCATTTTCTCCTCATGAAGTTTGACTTTGAGCTCTGTCACCACCACTGTACTTTTATGCTGTTCGTGCTCTTTGATCTGCTTAACCTCCTGATTTTTCTCTCTTTCCAACTTGCTGACCTACAAGGCACATAAAAATATTTTTAATCAACAGAATGATTAATACAAATTATGGTATTATCTAAAACTAATACAGATCCCTTAACAATATCAGCCCTTAGTGCTGTTACGTCTGTGCCCTAGAGCGAAAGCCCAGTCAGGCAGTGATACCTCACACAGAGCTACCTGTTTGGAGTTTTAGTCATTCTTTGTGATCAAATGCTTTACTACATATTAAACATCCTCTTTTTAATGAGGTTCTGGGTAAAACTAGGCTCACTGAGCTCTGCCTCACAGCCTTCATGCTCGAGGCTTACAGAAGAGCAGTTCACTCTCCTGAAGCATTCCTGGGGAGAAAAAAAAAACATGACAAAATTAAGAAGTGGGTGTTCACTACATTGTATTTAATTACTGAGATGTTTATTGGGAAAACATTGCTTTTTCCCAATAGATGCATTTTTCTTCCTCATTTGACACAGTAAGGTTTCCTTGCTAGGAATACACCTCAGCCTGCCTCAGAATGAGAACACCTTACACCAAACCATGCAGGTGTAAGGAAAGAACTCTGACATTATGGACAACTTGGAGAATTCTTGTAAGGGAAAAGTAAGTTGTGAAAATAAGAAAAAGAAGCCTGAGAAATTTGTAGCAAAGACATTTCTTTCCCTGGAAACCATCATAAGTGGAAATATCTGCATTTTTAGAGAAAGAGGAACAAAAAGGTATCATTCTGACTTTGCAGATTTTTGGTACTGAGGATAAAAGTCTAAGCTGATCTATTTTTATAATTAAATTATATAATGAAGCTGATTCTATTTTTATAATTAAATAATAATCCCTTAAAATCCTACAGACACTTTAATTTGCCCAATTCGGTGCCTAAAACGCGTGAGTTAACACAATATAAGTATCATAAATTTATGCACGAGGCACCACACCCAGGTGAAGGACCCGTCCCTACCCAAACACTAGAGCAAGTGGATGCTCAGAACTGAGCTAACGTGGGGGCCAGGGGTGCTAGAAACAGACTGATGCTGGAGATTATACATTTAGGAGTCAGTCAGCATCTTGTGGAGTAAGTTTGAGCCCTGACTTTATTTTCTAGCTGGCTTTCTGTAGCAGCTCTCACACCACATCCCCAAAGGAACGTGTGAGCAGTGAGATGCTGAGCACACTCAGGTGCACAAATCCACACTGTGCTGTGCACACACGAGTGTGCAAGACAGAAAGAGCTCTGTGCAAGCCACTGTGAAGCCCTAAACAATTGCATCCTCTCAGGTGCTTTTTAAGCAATGAATTATTCAGAGGAAATAACTAACTGTACCTGACTGCAGAAGGGTCAGATGACATTTCAATTTAAACCCATGCTGTAAGCTCAAAATGCCATAATGAGAAGTGGCTGGGAGGGCAGGGGGGAGGAAACAAGGGTCTTCAGTCTTAAAACTGCAAGTGCTGCTTCACAACAAGAGGATTAAGAGGTGTTCTGTTTTTATACGTATAAACACAACCCCTCCCCTTAGAAGCTTCCTTAAAAATTGGATTCATAGTCTACAATGCCTAATAATGATGCAAATTAAGGGAAAAAGGCAGAATATCACTCTGTCCCTGCATGGTAGTGCGTTTCTGAAATGAAAAAAACACCAAAGTTTATACTGATAAACTAATTTGGAGGATAAGGGAAAAGCAAATCAGTTCTCCATGCCCCGACTGAGCAGTGGTTTGAAGGCTGTGGCTGAAAGCTCTCAGAGAAGAGGCTGGGGCTGCACCAGCGCTCGCTCCGAGGCTCGGGGGGAAACTGTGGCTCCCTAAACTGTGGCAGTCAGAGCAGGAGGCAGAGCTGAGGCCTGTTTCCATACACCTGCAAGCTGTAAGCCAGCAGAGTTTGGGGGATTTTGAACACAAAATCCAAATTAAATTGGTGTAAATGTGAAAGAGGAAAATCATGAAAGAGAATTTCTGAATGGCACAGAACTGCCCTCAGACCCCTCAGTGTGGCCATCCTCAGCAAGAGGTAAATATTTACCAGAAAAAATTGCAGTCAGAGAAACAAAAGCCGTGGACAGCTTTCAGCTCGTCACAATTGTGCCATCTGTTCTGAGCAGCTGTTTGTTTTTCCAGATTTTTGCTGGCATTTAGCCATGTGATTTTTCAAGTTCATTTCTTGCTGGATGGGGAGCAAGCGTGCTGCCCACAGCCGAGTCCTGCCTGCCCAGGGACTGGCCACCCCACTGCTCAGCTCTCCCACCGAGAGCCCTGCCACCAAAGCACCCACACTCTCAGGGGTCTTTTGTACCACACAGGCACATAAAACCAGGGGGGTGTAGGTTGGACATTAGGAAAAATGTCATCTCCAAAGGGGTTGCCCAGGGCTGTGGGGGGGTCCCCACCCCTGGAGGGGTTTCCAAGCCGTGGAGATGTGGGGTGAGGGACACGGGGCAGTGGGGACCTGGCAGGGATGGGGAACGGTTGGACTCCATGACCTTAAAGGTCTCTTCCAAGCAAATGAGATTTGATTAATTTCTGTGATTCTTTACAGGTGCTATAAACATTAGGGGATCAATTCAAACAGCTGCAGTAGCGGGGTTCCCTCTTGTTTCCCACAGGCCAGCTCTGGGTGCCCACACTGCCCAGCAGCGGGGCGAGGAGCGGCCGGGGGCAGAGGCAGCAGCCTGGCCTGGCTCCGCTTGGGGGGGGGATGCACACCTTACTCTTTTCCTGCTGGAGCTCTATCTGGATGTCGGTGAGCTTGGCCCTGAGCTCCTCATTGGCTGCCTGCAAGGCTGCCAAGGCGTCCGGCTTCTCCCCTCTGCCGCGGCTGCTGGAGCCCTTCTTGGACATGGTGAAGGCGCGGCGGGGAGGGTGCTGCCCGGGGGCCCTCTGCCCAGCGCTCGCCCCGGGCTCCTCGTCCTGCTTCAGCCCTCTACATTGTCCTGGGTGCCTGGAGGAGGGAGAGGACACGGCTGTGCCTGGAGGAGGGAGAGGACACGGCTGCTGTCAGGGTGCTGGAGCTGGGTGGGGCAGGAGGCACCCCCAAACGCGTGGTGCGAGGTGCACGCCAGCTAACGTGGGTCCTCCTGGGGTAGACAAGAGCTAGAAACATGGTCAGATGAAACAGCAGTTTGTGTGACACCTCTGCAGAGCAAAACAGTTAAACCACAAACTCTAAATGTTTTCTGTCACTTCATTTGCACTCAAATTCACACAGTGCAGGGGATGAGGAGGTTCAGGAGGGACATCCGAGCACCATCCCTTGGCATTGTCATGGCTTGGAGACAGCAACAGCTGGGAAATGTATTTCAGTACAGACAGAATACTTCACGTGCTTTAAAAAAAGGCAAGAATAATAAAATGGTTCATTTCCTACAAATACTTTCCAGATATCCATGATGAAAATAATAGAAGTAATAAAATCAGCAAGAAGCTACGGAAGCAAGCAGGGATCACCCAAAGGCAGCAGAAGCTTTCCATGTAGGGGTGTGCAATGCATCATCACAGCAGCAATCAATATCTATACAGGCGTATCTAAGGCTGGAAATGGAGTAGGTGCTTTATTTGCATTGAGAGGTTTTGAGTCAAATCTAAGCAAAAAGACCCTGAGCCAAGCAAATTCATCCTGTTAAACAGTAGAGCACCAGGCAAAAGTGGACCCAGAGTCACAGAATTCATTTATTAATATAGTCTGAACTCTATGCCAACTCATTACTCCAAACACATTTAGAAACTATACAAAATAGACAATTTACAATGATAACTTCAGATTTGTCAGTAAAAGAGATACTAATATGCTAAGTACAGTGCTAAAAGCTACGTGCATTCCTTGACTTTTATTTCAAAGTTCTCCAGCAGGACTTTGCCCAAGAATAAGCAGCAGTGTTCTGGAACGGGTGAGTGTTATCCAAGACTGTGCCCAGTTTAGGACATTGTATTATTGGTGAAAGTCAAAGACCCTTTATAATCAATACCATTAACAAAAGAGTGTAAAAGTTATTGAAAACTTGCAAAACCCATATTCTACCTTAGTGTTACTGCCAGACATAGGGAGCCCAAGAGCAAGGCACAAACTCACTGCAGAGAACTTGCAATCTGGGGCAAAGGCAGGCACAGGCAGGGAGACAGAGGGTCCTCTGTCTGTTAATGCCAGTGCTGCATTCATCCAGGGTTCAGAAAACTGTCAGAACTTCTCAGAGGAAAAAACCCTCACAGTGATATGACGAGGGGTAATGGTTTCAAACAGGAAAAAGGGAGATTTAGATTACAAATGAGGAAGAAGTTCTTCAACATGAGGGTGGTGAGACCCTGGCCCAGGTTGCCCAGGGAAGCTGTGGATGCTCCATCACTGGAGGTGTTCAGGACCAGGCTGGATGGGGCTCTGAGCAACCTGCTCTGGTGGGAGGTGTCCCTGCCCATGGCAGTGGGGTCAGGACTAGATGATCTTTAAGGTCCCTTCCAATCCAAACCTTTCCATGATTCTATGAAATCTCTGTAAAAACAAATAGTTAAGCTATTCATCAAATCAAATCCCTGTGATCAGTGACTTGTCTGCACAGAGGTGAGCTTGGCTGACGGTGCCACAGTTTGTCCTAACTTAATTTGAGTCATTTCTCAGAGCTCTTGAGTCAGCAGGAGGGTGTTCAGGTTGCTGTCAGTTCTCTCTCTAAGCAGTATTTAACCTGGTGCTCATCAACAGCACAGACAGACTTAATTTGATAGAACCCTGAGGATAGCAAGAAATTCTGGGCAAAATGCTGTGTCCCAGAGGCCTCGTTCAGCTCTGGAGCAGTGGAATGTAGGTGCTGTCTGCTCCATCCCAAAATATGGATGGTTCTTTCACATTTTGTCTATTTTCTGAAGGATCTTTTAGAACATTACTTATCAAAGCACTATGGGAGAAGAATCCCCACGCTGCAACACAAGTTCCTTGGTAATTATTCCATGCAATTTTTCCATCAGTGGCTATGGGCCATGGCTGTGAAAACCCAGTTATTCCATTTAAACAAACAACAGCAGCACGTGCAAAGAACCAGTTGCTGCTGTGTCTCTAGGCAGAGCTGACTCACTGTCAACCTTTGAAAATTGCCTGTGAGTGAAATCCTGTGTGAACAGCCTGGAGGAGCAGCTGACAGCCCACGCAGGAGAGACACCCCCACGGGAGTGCAGGCTGGGGAACACCAAGAGAAGGGTCAGAACAACACCCAGAGAAGAGGGGGATCCTGAAGCCCGTGGTAACAGGGCAGGTACGAAATCCAGTGGGATAAAGGCTCAGTCATCCCACAAGTTCTCAGACAAGATCTGGGCCAGCTTCTGACCCAAGGGCGAGGGCAGCACGGCTGCGCTCTGCCGGAGCACCCAGCATGGACTGAGAACTTTACAACACCTAAACTTACAGAAGAATGTAAAATCTGATACAAAAATGTTCCCCTGGAAAACTTTGACTGACTTAGACAAAACAGTACCCTGAAGAGATCACATTTATTTCCCAGCTCAAAAACTTCCTGGGATTAATTTTTAACTGCCACTGCATTTCTATTGCCAAGTAAACCCTTGCTTTAGAAAATCTGTTTAAGTTATACTATTAAAATACACAAAACAGCTCAAATTTGGGAAGATATTTCCAACCTCGTTAATACTAACCTTGTTAACGTGGACAACAATCCTCTGGGAAGATGACCTTCAATGCCTTGGGTTATTCATCCCGACTCAGCCAAACCCACAGCAGAGCAGCTCCAGTCCCTGCCCAAGCACGAGCAAAGCGGCTTAACAGTTCAGGGCAGCTGTAACCATAAACCAACAGAGAATAACAGTAACATAACAATATGATAATAATAGGAAAATGAGAGCTTAACGATAACAACAACAGCAGCAACCACCACCACAATAATTGCAACAGCACAGCTGGATTTAAATCCTAAGAGCCAAACCCTGCACCCATTAAGGAGAAGCAGAGGGAAGCGGCTGCCTCGGGGGATCTGCAAATGGGATGTGAAGCTGGGAGAGGGCTGAGAGCATCCAGGGGAAGTGCCCGGAGTTGGGGAGCAATGAGGCAAAGCTGCTGAGAGTGGGGGAAATTAAGTAGGACAAGCAGTCACTACAAATCTGTGCTAGGTCACAGTAAGAGTGGGGAGGCTCAGATTTAGAGAAAAAGGAAAGGGGGAAAAAAAATCCTGCTCTTAACTGGCCAGACTGAGGTATTACAAGGAGTCTTAACTATTGTTTCTCAGACTGATGGCTGACTTTGTAGCCTTGACAGCTCTATAAAAAGAAATGTGTTTTGTTGGTCAAGGAAAGAGAAATAAACACCATTTTACAGATGTTGCCTGAAACCCCTGTAAACAGGAGCAGATGCTCTTGGCATTTAAGATACTCGCTTCTTTGTGCAGGAAGATGCAATACTCAGTGATCTACAATGGAGGGTTTCAAAACTCTCTTTCTTCCTAGCTAAAAAATGGGGCAGCCCATCGCCCTGGGCAGCGGGTTCTCCCTGCTGTGGTGAATGAGGCACTTGTGCAGATCACAATCATGCTCTTAAATGAGACCTCACAGGGATCCGTGCAGCAGGTGGAGCCAGGTTAAGTCACTACCTGGGGAAACGAGAAGCAGCACAAAACAGGCTTCTAACTGCCTACATTTCAATGTCAGACACCATAATTTGAATGATTTCTGAGAGTAAGTTCAATCAGAAGGATTATTTTTGACAGGCAAGGACTATGAGAATTTTTGCTTGTTTGCTTACAGAAAATAAAACCGAGGAACTGACACAAGTAAAACAAAAGGTGAAAATGTTACAAGAGAAGCTGGGAGAAGCTCAAGCCCAGCTGCTGACTTTCCTGGGGACAGTGCATGGCTACAGCACCACGTCGTTGGGTGCCCTGCACACACACACACACACACACACACACACACACACACTCTCCCTGGTGTCCCTGGGAACCCGGGCAGCAGACCCACCATTTCCTGACCTTCTTGCAGGCACTGTCTCAGAGAGCCCCTCGGGAGTGTCATGCTGAGGAGGGCACCATCCTGGCACCTCCCTGCAGAGCTGGGGACTGAAAGGTGGCTAAGCATGGTTTGCTTGGGGGAATTCTGTCTGAGGCTGACTCGTAGCATCTTGAGTCCTCATATTTTCAGTGTTTAAGCTTTTAAATTTTGTTTAGAATGCTACTGAGGTTTAATTGGGTGAGTTGACACATTTCATGACAACTATCTGCCTAAATCTGATTTTTTCAGATCACTAAAAGGGACACAGCAATGACCCAAGGGGGGAGCCCCTCTGCTGGGAGCCCAACAAGAGGGAGTTTGGGCTTTTCAGCATGGGGAAGAGAAGGCTCTGGAGTGACTTTCTGGTGGTCTTCCAGGACTTTGAAAGGTCTGTCAGAAAGCTGGGGACAGACTTTTGAGCAGGGTCTGTTGGGACAGGACAAGGGGGGATGGTTTGAAACTAGAAGAGGGAGATTCCAACTAGAGAGAAGGAAGAAGTTTTTGACACTGAGGGTGGTGAGCCCCTGTCCCAGGCTGCCCAGAGAGGTGGTCGCTGCCCCATCCCTGGCACCATCCCAGGGGAGGTTGGCCGGGGCTCTGAGCACCCTGCTCTAGCTGGGGATGTCCCTGTCCCTGCAGGGGTTGGACTCGATGGGCTTTAAAGGTCCCTTCCCACCCAAACCACTCTGTGATTCTATCATAAAAGGTAGAATCTAAAAGTGGTTACCTTATTTCAAGAACACAAGGCTTGTATTGCAACATTTGCCTTAAGCAGGTCCACAAAACCTCTAAAGATCTGAAATATCATCAGCAGGGTGTCCCTGTTGTGCCATAAGGGCAGCCCAAGTGTGGGTGGCTGAAGC